TTCTTTTTCTTGGGGCAAAAAAAAAAAAAAAAATCTGGAGTCCCGAAAGACCAGGGCATCTAGTGGAAGCTTCCAGCATGTGTTATAAAGGTTCCCGGGCAGGTCAGGAGAGCAGCTCCTAGACAGGTGGGAGAGGCGTGCCCCTCCCACAGCACCAGAGTGTTTGTGGGTACCAGGTTTGCCCGGAGGGATTCCTCCAAGGTCACTCTCCCACTTTGCAGATGAGAAGAATGTGGCACCAGGATGGGAGGGGCTTTCCTGCAGCGATGGCAGAGCAGGCAGACGTCCTGATTCCTGAGGAAGAGCGCTCCCAGGTCCTGGATGCGATAGGGACCACCAGGCTGCACCCTTCCTCCGCCAACGGTGACTGCTGCTGAGCCGGAAGATTGAGTTATTCTCATTCTGCACCAGCCCAGGGCCCGGGAAACCCGGCTTCACAGAGGTAAGTGTGAGAGAAGAACACTAACTCCATAGCCCAGCAAAGGGCCTTGGAGGCCGGCATGTCCGCCTTTGGGAAAGCCTTTATGGCCAAAGTCCATGGAAGTAGGAATCTGACCCACGGCGGCACCAGTCTCTTAGAGCAGGGCACTGGGTGGCCAGCGATGGCAAAGGGAAGCAGCAGGTTGGCTGGTATTGATCCAAAGATATCTGCCTTCCTCACTGTTGGAGCGTCTCTTCTCAAAAGGTCTGCCAAGCGAGTCGCCTGGACCACGTCTGCATCCCCCGTGAGTGTCATGGGTGCCCCCGTGCTATGCTGAAATCCCCATTGGACTTTCGAAGGGGCCAGTCCCACAAATAACTGGAAAAACCCAAGGGGCAGTGCTGGGGCCTGCAGTTCGGTGCCCCTCAGGGGTGCTTTGTTTCTGTCCTGAAAACCTGGAACGAGATGGGGACAGTCACCAGCCATAGAAACCCCCTTCAACGAATATCCCCAGATTTCCTTTCAAATGTTTGTTACAATGCTCTTTCTAACTTTATAACACCCTCAAAAAGGCCAGGCCAAAGATGCTTAATAAATGTTTTCTGATGGTGGTGAAATCATCATTAACTATTGTTAATGTAAGTACAAACGTTTATGGGTGATCTCTTCCATGGCAGCCATTCATCCAACAAATGGATGCTCCCTACGTGCCTCCCACAGAGCCACTCCCAGGGAGACGAGAGAGAATGAAGACACAGCTTTACTTCAGCAACTTTAATTCCTTTAATTTCCCCTCTTCATGCAACTCACATATTCTAGAGGGGCAAAAGGAAAAAAAAAACTAGTGAATAGGTGCATTTTGTAAATTGCTAGTTATAAGTGCAATAAAAACCAGGATAAAGATCCACAGAAGGAAACCTGGGGCATTTTTAATCATCACGAGAGCAGAAAATGCATAGTGCAGGCTGTCGGATTTACAGCGTCATTTGCTGTGTTTCTTTGTTTTGCTGTTGATATTCACTGCATATAAGTTACCACCGGGAGGTACTGAATTTGGGCTGCTGAACCGAGCACCACTTGGCCTTCTAATCAACTAGTGACTGATAACCAGGAGTCATCTGTCTAATTAAATTTTCTGCTGCAGGAATCGGAAGTTATCAGAGGAGACTGAGATGATGCTAACAGGAAAGCTCTTCACTAGTTGATTTTACTAAACCTAAGCCATGGATACAGTGGGGAAGAGGCACAATGCTGGCAATGGATAGAGCAATGCAGGGCAAGACTGCTTTTATAAGCAGAGGGAGTAATAGCCCATTCTGGACACCACAGTGTAAGGGATGTTGACCAACGGGAGCATGGCTGTCATCGGGATGCACTCACTGGGTTCATTCACGTCGAGGACATAGCAATCATGGAGCTAAGAGCCCCATCTGCCTCACTCCCTGCTATAATCTGGGATCCTGCTCATGGCCGAACACACTCTAAGCCTTCACAATAAATACGTGGGGGGTGAAGTCGATGACAATGTCTGCAGCAGTGGTGACCCACCATCCTTCCCTTCCACCCTGTACAAAGCCTACCTCCCCCCAGATTGGGCTCTCGGCTGCCTTCTCCTCTCCAGCCAGTCCTCAGAGAAAACTGTCCTCCTGACACTTACCCCATAGTACAGGTCACCACAAGTGGGCTCCTCTCCTCTCCAGACTCCCTGAAGGACATGGTGACCTGTCTCTTGTTAAAGAAATGCCAAGAATTAGGAGACTGGAGGCTAGGCTGGGATATTGGCCAGGGTAGGAGTTGGGTGGCCCCCTTCCTGCACCCCAGGCCTGGGTTTTGTAAGCTGAGAGAGACAATGAGCAAAAGATCAGGGGAGGGGGGCAGTGTGGGGGTAACTCTTCCATTCTTTCTTCCATTCTTGTCACCTGACAAATGAGGAATCGGAGGCCCAGAGAGGGGAAACAACTCACAGCTCACCAGTGAGAAGCCAAGTGAGACACCGGCTTGGTGTGAACCGGTGGAAAAAACACACAAAGTCTGAAGTGACTGCCCTCCCACATTCCATGGGGGCCTAATCTGGCTGCTTAACCTTGACCGAGTTACCAAACTCTCTAAGCCTTAGTTTTCCCATCTGGACAGTAGAAAATAGCTTTCTCACCTCTTCTTGGTGGTTTTAGTAAATGGAGCAGTTCATGTGATGCCCTCAGAGCAGTCTCTCATATTACATAAAGGGCATTCGCTATTATTGTCACTGTCCGTATTTTTAATCACGGCCACAGACCCCAATCCTCCGGATGCTTAGGCTCTAGTCTGGTCCCGCCTCCCTCGGGCCCATGTGATCTCTTCCTCCTTTGATGCCCTTGGCTACCAGCATCCTGGACTACACCACACGTGGAAAAGCAGTTGTCAGAGAAAACTCGAACAGACCAGGACAGCAGAGGCAAGCCGGTCCAGGAGACAATCCCAGTTTTCATATCTCATTAGGTTCATGATTTTCTTTTTTACATTTCTTTTAAGGCTCGTGATTTTTATGCGTACCTGGAGCCAAGAGGTCAGGATGGGAAGGAGGGAAGCCCAGTGCCCAGACCCCTGGCCATGCGCTCTGCTCAACAAAGCATCTCTGCTGGGTTTTATATTTGGGCTCCAAGTTAGAACGGGTTCAAACACACAGTCCTACAACTAATACAAAATCTGAAAAACCTAACATGTTCTATGATCTTTATGATCATTTTCTGCTTAAAAATGTATGAACTATAATTTTTGAATTATTACATAAGCAGTCAGTTATTTATCTTTCCACCCTGCACCCCACCCCCAAACAACTGGTTCTGTGGCTGGGGGAATACCCAGAACATACACCTCCTGACCCCTAGTCCGCTGTTCATTTCAATATATAAACATAGCCTCCAATACATCCCTACAGATTTCACAGGGGCAAAGGGAAGGAAGACCCAGTTCCTTTCATCCCAGTTGTCAGGGCCTTGGCAGTTTTCACCATTTTTCTATTCTGCATCTGAAAGAGGATTAAAAATCTCTACTCTAGGAAACAGGGCAGGCCAGGAGGTGGTCAGAGCCTTAGGGAGGGGTCACAGGTGCTCCATCGTCTTCAATGCAGAATGGCTCACAAAACTAATTTCCAAGTCCTCCTCACCATTCGGTCCTTAACTTTTTGCAGGAGCCGGAAGCTCAAAAGGCTGTAAGGCTAGGCAGGCAACTTGAATGTCAAGAGCCCGACAGCCAAAGGATCAGGACCAATCTGGAGAAGGAAAGCCTTTTGGTTCCTCTTTGAAGGAGGAGCAGACATGGGCATGAAAGGGACTGCTGCGGCCCCACCAGGACTTTCTACCCTGGGTTTGCTTTCTCCTTTTTCAATCATGGTCCCACGCTCAGACCACCAGATGGTAGGCCTTCGCCAGATGGGCTACTTTTCTTGTTAAGTTTATTTTTGAAAGAAAATTTTTTCTCCTGGGTAGAGATGAGTGGTCTCCAGAGGCTTTCATTTCCTTTCTGAGTCAGGTTCAGTCTCACGAGGCTTGGCTTTCGATTTCTGCAGCCTTGCCGCTCCCTGAGCCCTCAGAGGTCCCCCGGTGGTGCCCCCTCTACTTCAAGAGCCCCCCGAAATAAGCTGAGTGACTACAGATAAGTTTTTGGTACTTTCCAAAATTAAACTATTTCCCTTGGTAAATTTCCACCAAATGAGCTCATTAATCTGAAAACAGGATGTGGCACATGAAGGGGGTGAGGTCAGGCTGCCTGTTCATTTACACTGGTTTGGGGTGAAGAGGAAGGGGTGGGTGGGAGAGAAGTGAGACCAGAGAATGGCTTCTGTAGGCCCTAAATCCTTCATGGAGTGGACTGAGAATCAATGGATTTTTAAATCAGAGACTCAAACCTCTGGGTGCTTTATTTTCCCCTTAGAACTGAAAGCCCCCACACAGACTACGCCTGGGCAACCTCCCACGATTGCCTGTCTTGGAGGTCCCAGGAGACCTCCTGCTGGTCGAGAACAGATGTCTCCCCTCCAGGGAGGACCCGGAAGCCCTCCTTTCACAGGAGGGCATCTGCCCTGCAAGTTTCTGTGTCAGAAGGTGGTCCCAAATGAAAAAATAAACAAACAGAAAGCCACCAAAGAACTAAAACACAGTTCCCAACTCCAGCTGGGTATCAAGACAAAAAATGGGACCCTAATACCTAAAGAAAATTTAATGGGTGCCTCTGAGGAACTAAAACAAACCTAAACCAACAAAGGAAGCAGCTCACTCCTCAGCCGACAGTCCTGCAGACCTAGGTCTGGTGGAGAAGAAGCCCTTGTCAAATGCGCAAAAATAAAGGAAGGTTGTGTTTCACAACAAAAATTCTATCTCAACACCAATGCCATTAAGTATTTTGATTGAAAACACAAGTTCATAGGGAATAAGCATCTGTGTGTGTGTTATAGACGAAAACAGAAGTGGTTTTCTGAAGCATCAGTTTCGTACAAGCACCCTGCTTATCCACCAATATGTACCGGCCCTTTGCTTATTGCGCCAATCAGAAAGGGTGGACCAGCCTGGCACTGCGCAAGGCTCTTCGCAGGAGTCCAAGAAGGCAGGACTCGGTTCCACGCTCACCCCACCTCCACGCAGGGTTTCTGGCAGGCGAGAGCCAGGGGTGGCGCAGGCCTCAGTTTCCCCAACACGGGGCGAACTCGCCCCACCCCACCGCCCCGGGGTGGCCCCCCAGCCGGCTCAGGCAGCGGAGACCCGCCCCCGCACTCTCCGGCTTCCGGCGACCGACAGTGTCCTCCGGGCCCCACCGGAAGCTCTCGCTGGGCCGCGGGGAGGCAGTGGCTGCGGCGGAGGCGAGGTTGGTCGCACTGCACCCCGCCCCCACCCCCACCCCGGCCCCACCCCCCTGCCTCCCCGGCACTGCGGGCGGTGCTCGGCCCCGCCCGTGGTTCCGTGCTCCCCGCCCTGGAAGTCCCAGGTGCAGCTCGCCCGGACGCGGGCTCCCCAGTGCGGGGCTCTCCGAGCGAGGCCCGGGCCCTGGAGTCGCGGCTGTAGAGCGCAGCCGGGACTCACTGCCCCAGCCCTTTCTGCGGGCGCCGGGGCACCGCTGGGGTTAGCTCATCCGTGAACAGTCTCGGGCACTGCTCGCTGCTTACTCAAGAGTAGTGGCGGTGGCGAGAGGACAGGCACCTGCCGAAGTGGGGTTGGCGGGGACAGAACTAGGGACCACACGGGCAACCTGGGTTGCGGGAGGCGACGGAATCGCAAAGGCAGGCGCCCAGCTCCGTCCTTCGGGCGGCCTATGGAGACTCCACGGGAAAGTGGGATCTGGCCCAGGTGGGCCCGGAAAAACAAGTGGGGAGCTATGGCTGCGCGGCTCAAGGATCCGCGTGTGCTGATCCGGGGGGAGGCGGGGCGAAGCCACGGAGATGAATCCAGGGAGGCGCAGAGAGGAAGAGAATTCTAAAGGAAGGGCTCAGAGTCGTGCCAGGTGCTGGCCAGGGGGCTGGTTGGATGAAAACTGGGGGAGGCCTAGGACGCTGGCGACTTTGACATTGAGAACCTTGGGGCGGTGGAGCACCTGTGCAGGCAAATCTTTTCTAGAAGTTCTCTTCAAGTGAGGAGAGAGTGTAAATACGACGTAGAAACTGGGATGAGGGTGAAGAACGTTCCCAAGCCCCATGTGGGCTTAGAGCCCAGGCGCTGGGTTCCGGAGTCCCTACTCACTGTGAGACCTTGGCAATCACTTAACTTCTTTGAGCCTTTGTCTGTGAAATGGAGATGATAGCAGTACCTGCCTCCCAGCCTATGTGAAGATCAGATGAGGCAGCGCCTGTGAAAGCACTTCACACAGCACTAAAAAGTAGTTCTTACCATTTTTATCATTGGAGCAGCTGGGGCATCTTTTGATGCTGATAGAGAGGGAAGCATTGAAGACAGGGGAAAGGGCATTAGGCTGAAGGGGACCCAGAATTTGGATGGGGAGAGAAGTCTTAGGTGCCTGTCTGTGTCAAACCAAGGGAAGAGCGAACAACAATTGGGCATACGGGGAATTTTGCAGGTTTGGGGGCACCCAGTAAAGGGAGTGCCTTTCTGACAGCCTTGTCTGAAGCAGGCTTCAAGGTCATTTGCTGAGAGGGCCAGGCCAGGGCTGGCCCTCGGGAAGGTGGAGGTTCTGGTTTATACCCCAGTGCCAGGGTGCCATGTTCTCTTGGCCAGCAGCCCGTGGTAGCCCCAGTTTTGCTTCAGGAAAGGTGGGCAGTTGAATTTATCTCTGGTCAGAGGACAACATCTGACCTATTTTGCCCACTTGCAAGGCTCAAATAAAGTTGATAAGCGGGAGAACACCATATTATAAGCATCATTTACCTTTTAATCCTTTCCCCTGATCTTGAGGAGCAGGGAGGCCTGTGGCCATCATCAGAATGAGTGTGAAAGCCTTTCAAGTACCTCAGTTGGGCCATGCATCACACTGTACTCTCACCTATGACCTGGTTTAGTCACAACAGGTGAAGTTGGTTTTACTGTTATCCCCATTTTACAGATGCAGAAACTGAGCTTCAGAAGCTAAGGAGCTTGTCCCAGGATGCACAGCTACTAAATGGCATTCTTAAGATCTAAGCTCAGATTTCTCAGACCACAAAGCCCATGATCCGAAACCATTGTAAAAAAATTGCAAACCCCTCACTAGCTGCCCAGCAGGATGGAAAGAAGTCAAAGGATCATCTTTTCCATTTGATAGGCGAAAAAGCAGGGGGTGGGTATTCTGGCCTCTGTCCCACCTGGCTCTGTAGTCTCCCACTTGGCCTTGCTGTCATCTCTCTCGTATGGGTGAAGGAACACAGAGCTTTAGAGTCCCACAGATGTGGCACGAATCCTGCTCCACTGCCAGGGGCTGTGCGACTTTGGACCAGGCATCTTGCTTCTCTGTGCCTGTGTGCGGCTGCAGAATTCCCAGCAGGTTGCTTTAAGGAATAGGAAGGGAAACATTGCCCGGCCCACTGTAGACACTCCAGGAGCCACGGTTCCCACACAACAGTGGACCTGCATCTCACTTGGCCACTTATACCACCAATTCCCTATGGCTTTGACTTATTTAGAGCTTTGCTCTCCTCAGGGCCAGGAAGTGGTAGTGCCTGACCTGGGTATGTGGCCATCTATGACTTCCTGCATGGGGAGGAGCACCCTGAGCAGTGTATGGTTAGGAGGCTGTGGACTTGAAAGAAGGGGAGGGCCCTGTGTTGTCATGGTGACAGATGAGGAATGCCACTGGCAGGGCCATCAGAAGCTTCCTCCTACTTCTGGTTGCCTTGCTCTTAGGGTCCCAGAATCTTAGAGCCCAGAGGAGCCTTGGAGACCATCTGTTGAAGCTCATTTTTTTACAGGTGGGGTAACTGAGACCCGCTATGAGGAAGTGACTTTACCTGAGACACTGGACGGGCCAGAGCCAGCGTGCTTGGTACTTGCCTTTTTGGATCTGACACTCAGACCTGGGGATTTCCACCAGGACAGTGAGCACTCCCACCCAGAATTCCAGGCTGTTCAGAGGCCCCAGGGAACAAAGACAAGTCACCAGCCGTGGCTCTCTGTGCTGAGGTTCCTTGGGGCAGGAGGAGGTTGGAGGAAGCCAGCGGCAGCCTGAGGTTCTGCAACAGGGGAACTCTGACTGTGGTTCCTGAAAGTCCGTGACATGGTTGTTTTTTCTCTCTGACTCGCTCTCTTGCTCTCTGTCACTCTGAAGAATGACTGGACACTCCTAGAACCTTCAGTCAGCATCCAGGGGATTTTCTTTTTTCACCACAAAGGGTAATTCCTGCTCCATCCCTGCTGTGACTCAGCTGTGACGTCGCGCCACCCAAGTCAGTGAGAAGATAAAGTCATCAGACCCCTGCTCGCCAGAGCGGGTGGCCCACACCAGAACTCACCTCTGCTCTCAGCACAGACTCCACGAGGCCGGTCCCCTCCCCAGAGGAGCTTAGCCGGCCCCCCTGGCCAGGCTGGAAACTCAGGATGGCCTCTGGCTCAGGCAGTGGCCCCCGCCCAGCCCCTGATGAGAACGAATTTCCCTTTGGGTGCCCACCCACTGCCTGCCAGGACCCACCAGAGCCCAGAGCCCTCTGCTGCACTGCCTGTCTCTCTGAGAACTTGAGGTGAGGGGTCAGTGGGAAGAAGGTGTCAGGGAGGGACCTGTGATGGGAGACAGGGGTGAGAGGAACCTGTGGCTTTGGGCGGGCGACTTCATCTCTCTGGGCCTCCGTTTCCCTGTCCTTGCAGTCCCTGTTGCTTCTGCTCCTTGTGACTCTTGGTGGAAGAAGTAGCCACAGACAGATGTCAGCTGCCACAGCAGAAGGCTGTCTGGGGTGGGGAGAGCCTCGGGCCCAGCTGGGCTCTTTACCTACTGTGATGCCTGGTCCTTCTTCTCTGTAAAATGCAGGAAAGCTATTTTGCTACCTCAGGAGTAAGAGGCACAGTCAGTAATGGTCCAAAAAGTTTTCGTAATAGTGAATATGAACTTTCTTAGTAAATGATGAACTAGTATACGAATATCCCTCCTTCCCCAGGATTTTACATCACCTGGTACTGTTTGCTGAGAACAGTTTTAAAGGGAACAAAGATATCTGTGTTTATATATGTATGTATGTATAGGTGATATATATTTAGATTTCATTGAATATGCATATATTTATAAGTGAATACTGTAATTTTTGGACCATAAGACGCGCCTGGGTTTTAGAGGAGGAAAATAGGAAAAAGATTTTTGAAGCAAAAAATGCGGTAAAATATTTAATAACATAAATAACACAATATTTCACCAATATAAATGTAAACAGAACTCAACATCAGCATTAACCGTATTTCTCCCAAATTTGGGGGTGGGGAAGATGCATCTTATAGTCCAAAGAATAAGGTATATATGTATATAAATACACACTTTACACATATTTAAAATATCAGTAACTACAGGTGTGACATTCACACCATCATCAGCATCTCGCCTTAAGCAAATATTTTGAACCTACTATGTGCCTCTTTCCCTGGGTTTTCAGAAGAGCCTTGGAAAGGTGGATACAATTATTATCCCATTTTACAGATGAAGACAGTGAGGCCTAATGGAGAGATTAGGTCGACCCGCCCTGGGTCAGATTCCTGGCAAAAGTGCTCTTTAACTGCTTATGCCCCCAGCACAGCCATTGTTTAGGGCTCTACAGGGTAAGAAGGTGGGAAAACTGAACCAGGCCAGTTTGAAGAGTTCAAATGCTTTGATGAAGTTGGGGGAATTGTGGCCAAGGAAAGGCCAGGTTGTGGGGGTGGGGTGGTCAAAGCTTGGGCTTTTGTACTGGGTCTTTTGGCCCCTCTCCCGGTTCTTCTAAAACCTGGCAGAGGTGGGGAGGGAGCTGACTGGGTTTCGAAGGGACCCAGGCTTGAGGTGTGCAGAGTTCTGCCTGGCTCTGCTCCCAACGCTGTCTGCCCTTGGCCAATCCATGTGCCCACCAAGGCCTCACGTTTGGGGCCTGGCTAGTGGCTCTGACCGTGGATCAGAATCCCTTGGGAGGCCCCTGTGTCACTTGGTCAGAGTCTGGCACCCACTCCTGGTGAAGAAGCTCAGGCCAGGTGTTCTCCAAGGCCCCTTCTTATTCTACGCAGCCATGGCCATCTGTAATTCCTACACCAAGGAGACCAAAATCAGATGGAGTTAAGTGGAAAACAAATATAGCCACTCATCCACAACCCCTTACCTGAACCCCTGGCTCAGGTGTATTTAGAAATTCAGAATTTTTTCAGATTTCAGAAAAGCAAATCAATGCATTAATACATAATTCTTCCAGTGGGGAGTGGGGCAGTGCCTTATAATTAAGCCTATTGCTATTTCTGCAGTGAAACAAATACGCACACTAACTGGAGTAGCAGCCTCCATTCACTTCAGGTCAGGTTTGGCTGCTGAAGACGCTCACTGCAAACTGCGGAAGACATTGGGTGCCCAGTGCTTCTGAGGTTTGGGAATGGCGGCTCCGGGATTGTGACCTGCGTGCTCACTGGCATCAGTCATCATGCTGGGCAGGGCCTAGGGTTTTGGAGCTTCCAAAACAGAGGTTGGTGCCAGGGCGCTGGGAATGTCTCACTCAGCCAGATTTGTTCATGTGTCTTTAGGAACGGTGAGGATCGGACCTGTCCCAAATGCAGAGGAGACGACCCCCAGTCTGTAAGCCCAGGAAGCCTTGTCTCTCAGGAGAAGGTACGTCTGCGCACCCAGGAAAGGGCACTTGTCCATTTTCGCCATTTGTCAAGGTTGAGGCCAAGTAGACAGCTGCTCACACAGTCCCTGGCAGGCGCCTCCCTCTTTGTGCTGAGTCTGGACTGAATTTGGTTTGTAAACAGTGAGGGGACTGACAACACGCCGGTGCAGCAACTTGCCCAGAGCCACCTGGCCGACGGTGACAGATTCAGGGCAAGAACAACAGCCTAGACCAGGCACCAGGTGCCCGCAAACCACGGCCTGCAAGTCAAATTCAGCTTGTCAGCCCATGAGCTAAGAATGGGCTGAAAATATTTTAATATTTTCGGTAGTTAAGAAAAAAATCAAAAGAAGAATAATATTTTGTGACACCTGAACATTAAGTGAAATTCGAACTCCGTGTCCGTAAATACAGTTTTCCTGGCACACAGCTGTACCCACCCGTCTCCCCTTAGACTGAGAGCAGCCGCCCTCGGCTCCCCTCTGTGGTCGGCCACGCCGTGCTCCTGGGAGGAAGAGGTGGCTTTGGAAGTGTGAGGGGCCAAAGACACATTCTCAGGATCCACAGTCTAGAACCCCACCCCTTGCGGGTTGGAAGGGCCCTCACAGGTCATCTGTCCAGCGCAGAGCTGGTCTAGTCCTGAAAATAAGGAAATTGTAGTGAGCTGTTTACAAAACCAAATTCTTTCCACTTGTAGAATCCACCTTGACTCTGAGTTGATGCTCTTCCCGTACATGTCTTTGTATAATCAAATTGGTAGTGATGGCAAATGATAGAATTTTTGGCAAAGCCTTTACCTGGTAAATAAAAAGATGGCAATTTTAATGTGAATATCCCAATGAAAAAAAAACTCATATTGATCCGTGAGTCCAAAGCTGTAAGAATTGGAAGAACCACTGCTCTCACCCTAACCCCCTCATCTTGCACATGGGGCCCCGACACCCACTGGGCAGCCAGGGTCTCACGGCTCAGCCACCCTCACTGTCCTCACGGGGACACGCCCTGCTCCTTCGAGCCAGAGCCCCCCCTTGCCTCACCCCACAGTCGGGGGTCAGGAGCCTGCTGCTCAGGGACGGCTCTGTATGAATCAGTGAGCCGCCCGGATGGCCCCGTGCCTGTTTCTCTGTACAACGAGGAGGCTCCGTGGGCTCGGCAAGGCCTCTCCAGTACCTGCCATGTCAGCGGCTGGCAGGGCAGCGCTGCTCCCACCTGTGGGAACCTGCGGCTGGTGTGTCTCCACGCCCCCCCTCCCTTCTGCCCTCCGGCCTCTCACTCAGAGAGTTGGGGGAATATCCTGCCCTGCCTGGACCCGGTTTCTGGTTTCTGGTTTCTCCACTCCCATTCTCAGCTGCCCCTTCCCCACGGGCCCTCAGGGGAATCACAGCACAGATCCAGTGCATTTCCCCAGAACTTTACAGTCAGATCCGTGGAAGAACTTCCGAGCCTCCCCGTGTGGGCATCTCCGTGCACTAACCACAGGAGATGGGCAGAAACAACCTTCTGTGGACCGCCGGGCCCCCTCCCCGCCCACGGGAGGGCAGGGCTGGGTGCTTCCTGAGGCCCCTGCCTGCTTAAATGCTCCAGGCCTGTTGTTTTTAACTTGTTTTAGCCTGACCTTTTAGCAAAATTAATATACATTCATTGACAACTTTTGGATAACACAGAGAAATGTTAATATCTCTTAATCCAATGGCTTTACCTTTCTCATCTTTATGTGAAATCAGACGACAGTGGCAGTGGCCTGAGGGGAGTCTGGAACCCGGTCCCTCTTGGTTACCCCAGTGTCCCAGCCCCTGAGGGACCCTGGGAACTCCTAGGGGCACATTTTGATACTCGCTGCTTTAAGCCAAGTGAAATGACTAACGGTGGAATTACGGGCAGTGTAACAGACAACAGGGTGGGAGGGGTGCTGCCTACGACGTTTCTGGGACCAGCAGACCTCTGAGCAGCATGGGTCCTCGCCCCCCCCACTCTCCCCCCACCCCCGCCTGAGGTCATCACTGCACCCCCAGTGGGATGAAAGTGGTCCAGCCCACACACGAAGCCACAAAGTGAAAGACCAGGGACTCCTCTGCCTCCTGACCCTGATTCCCAACCCTGATGGGAACTTTGGGGGACTTTTGACCAAAGGAAAGCAGCTGACTATAAGTCAACACTTTGCATACACAGTAGTTGTGAAGTTTGTCTGTGGGTCTGGGGAAACCTAGGGAGTGGGGGTGAGTGGAAGGGCCAGGCCAGGGCTTAGCCGAGCTCAGCCCAGAGGGGCCGACTTTGCAAAGAAGTCTTTGCATTTTCCACGCCATCTGCTTATCAGTTTGCCCTCATCCCCTGACTCTTTAGATCACTATCTCTCAGGTGCACTATTAGGTAATAATGTCAGGAGCAGGTATTAAAGGATTACTACTGGCCTACTTAGAAGCTCAGTTCTTGCCTGGAATGACCTTCCTGTAGAAGATGTGACAGTGAATAGGGGATGGCTGGGCGGGTGGGAAATAACATTCAATTCTCACTGCCTGCAACCCCGAGAGTGGGGTTGTTTTCTTCCCTCTCTCCCTTCGGAGGCCACTCGAGGTCAAAAGCGAGCTGGCATCTGCTGCCAGTGGCTTGCAATGACGCCCGAACTTACTCTAGAATCAGCCGATGACAAGAGGTCAAGCTGTCTAGTCCGATTTCCTTTCTGTGTTGGATTCCCGCCAGGTGGCTGTACATCCCTCCAGTGACGGGGAGCTCATTATTCCATGAAATGACCACTTCCACCCCAGGGGACTTGGACTGTTGTACCATTTTCCTCTTTGTACTGAGCCACACAAGGCGAGTCAGTCACATCCTGTCCTCTGAGGCAGGCCTGCATTGGTGGGAAGAGGCTGACCGCCTCCCTCTCGAGTCTGTCCCTAGTCTTGGTGCCTGTGTCCTTCGAAGTGTGGTGTCTAGAAAGGCACCCCTGAACCCTTACATTGCTAAGCTTGACAGTGGCATCCGTCACCTCGCTGACCCAGTGACATCCTGCGTGGGTGGTAGTCATATCCCTCCCTATTTCACTGCTAGGTGATACACAGAGGCCAAGAGAGGAGGTGTGCCCGGACATAACAAGTCACATAGCAAGAGGCAGTCAAAGCTGGCTCCAACACCTGTTTCCTGGGCCGGTGGCATCTTCTCTGCCACCTCCAAGTGGCAGATCACCCTGAATGTTTTAGGCAGGTTTAAATACCACAGTCAGCTGTAAGTGCTGGAATCCACCAAGGTCTGTGAAGAAACAAGAATGGGCAAGACCACCTTCAACTAGGAGAGTCAGGCAGGGCTTCCTGGAAGAGGTGGCAGCAGAGTTGAGCAGAGAGTGCCAGAAAGGACACTGGCCTGGGTATGGGGGAGGGCTGGGCCTGGTGGGCAGAGGCAGACTGACCAGGCCTGCCCTGTCACCAGGGAGTACCTCTCACTCAGCAGCAGCTGGGACCTGAGCAAACACAGCCCCTCAGTCCTCAGGACCTCAGGTAGTCTTCGTGCCAGCGCAGGGGCGGGGGCCATGCCAGGCACGCTGCAGATCCGCTGTCCCGGGCAGCAGCCTCCCAGAGGCGGCCCCCATGATCCTGGCACCCCCTGAACGCTCACATTCTCAGAGGCCCACAGGTCCCCGAGTGGGGGCCTCCCAATGGAACCAGCTGCTGACCCCATTACTAAGGGCCTGGGTTCACACCGCACACCCGCAGACTTCCCAGACAGAAGGACGAGTGTTCCCTCAGGGCTGGGATTTTGTTTTCTCTGTTTCTGTTTCCTCCTCAGAGGAAATTCCACTGCAAATTTTATTTTTAGCAGTTTGAAGCATGAGGCCACTTCACAGGGGCCTCCTGCGGCACCAGACATACACTAGGCTAGGCGCAGGACAGATGTCCCTGTCTTCCTTTGCAACCCCATCCTGATTCCCTTTTCTGTACCTTTAAGTCCCGGCCCTCGGGCTCTGCCACCCTTTGGTCAAGGTGAGGACTCCTGGTGTGCATAAAGGACCCTGGACATGGCCTCCACCTCACCCTTGCCCCAAACTTGCATCGCCTCCTGAAAGTCACTGCCCACCCCTGCCTGGGCTTTGGCTCCTCCTCCCACAGGGGAGAAGTAGAGACCCTAAGCCCCGCCCTCCTCCTCCTGGCACCAGGAGGTGCCCAGTGGGGGGTGGTGCACATACAGGTGCCCAGAGAGCAGTAAGCCCTTGCAAGATCTCCTAGCTACAGGAAAGAAGACCCAAGTTCAGTCACCTACTCAAATGTGCAAGCCTGGTGTGACCGTGGGCGAGCCAGTCACCCAGTTTTCCCATCTGTGTTAAGGGGCAGGTCATCTCGCCCAGCCTGCCACAAAGGATCCTGTGATAGCATTGGACAGTGCGTTGGTCCTGTATAAACACAGATGCAGTGAGGGGCGCTCCTCACCTGCCCGAGGAAACCCAATGGGGAAATGGTGTTTCATAGACTCAGTTATGAAATGTTAGAGGTGTGAGGATTAAATGGGATGCATGTATGTGACAGCCATTAGAGGGAGAAAAAAGATGTCCCAAGGGCAGTGCTTAATTGCAGCAATACTACTGCTAATAATACTGCTACTGATAATGGCCAACGTTTGTTGAGGGTTGCGTTAGGCAGAATGGTGTTCCCCAAGATGTCCACGTGTTGATCCCATGAATACGTGGCCTTACGTGGCTGTGTTCGTCCCATCGTGCTGCTGTTGCACGGTGCCACGGGATGGGGGCCCTGAACAACAGAAGTTTGTTTTCTCACGGCTCTGGGGGCAGGAAGGCCAAGTCAGACCTGGTTTCTCCTGAGTTCTCCCCACTTGGCTTGTAGATGCCGACGCCGCCTTTTCCCGTGTGTCCATCTCATTTCCCTCTGTACGTTTGTGTCCAAGTTCTCTTCCCTTACAAGGACAGCGGTCCTGTTGATGGGGGCCCACCCTGATGACCTTGTTTTAACTTAGTTATCCCTTTAAAGACCCCATCTCCAAACACAGTTGTGTTCTGGGGGTCAGGACTTCAGCAGATGAACGAGGGGAAGGTGTATAACTTCGCCTGTAACAGTGGCAGAAAGGACTTGGCACATGTAGTTAAATCAAGGGTCCCGAGATGGGGAGAGTATCCCGATTGTCTCGGTGAGTCCGGTGTGGTCCCGAGGGTCCTCATGAGATGGAGGCTGGAGAGAGTCAGAGACAGAAGATGCGCTACTGCCCTCGTGGCAGGTGCAGGGAGGGGCCGTGAGCCAAGCAGTGCAGGCAGCCTCTGGAAGCTGGAGGGGAAAAAAGGAAACAGATTCTCCCCTCGAGCCCCCAGAAGGAACACAGTCCTGCCAACCCCTTGATATTTACGAGTTCTGATCTCTAGGACTGCAAGATCATAAATGGGTATTGTGTTAAGCCATTAAGTTTGTGGCATTTTATTACAGCAGCAATATGTAACTAAGACCAGAATGTACATGCATTATCATATTGAATCCTCACAATAACTCTGTAAGGGGAAGTGCTATTATTATCCCCATTTTGCAGTGGTGGAAAGTGAGACGTGGAGAGGTTCGTACTCTCCCAAAGCCACACCGCTAGTATGGGAAGTGAGCGAAATGGGCTTTGCACCCTGACAAGCTGAGTCCAGAGCCCATCCCCTGAAACCCTGGAGCCCTCTAAGGAATGAGTGACCGATAAGTGACTGGGGCACTGTGGGCAGACCGGGTGGCCACCGAGGCCTCTGAAGGGCTCTCAGATCACCCCTGCCTGTCCCCTGACAGCCACTGGAGGCTGCTCACGGCACAGGTCCATCTGCACATTGTAACAAGGAAGCCCCTACATCCACGCCTGGCTGGGCTTCTCACTGTGAGGCACAACCCCTTTGGGTTCCACAGCCAAAGCACACATGCCCCGCCCCCACCGACATGGCGATCCTGAAATTCCACTGTGTTAGCTTTTCCACCTTTCCATCCCCTCCTATGGCTCTCACTTGGAACCTAGAGCTGCAGAGGATTCGAATCGGGGACTTGGAGGAGGTTTAGGGCCTGAGAGGTTCCCCCAGTCCATCGGACCCAGTGCCGTGTGGGCATCGGCCCCTCCGCTGTTCCTACAGGTCACTGCACACTCGCCAAAGCCAGGGCAGCCCCTCTGCCAAGGCTGCCCTCTGCCCCGCCCCCAACAAAACATCTGTTCTCTACTCTCTGTTAGAAACATCTTGTGCTTGAACCCTGGGGTAGGGGATGGCGGGGAGGCCCTTTTCTGGGCTGTGTTTTGTGCCCCAAGCCAACCATACTCCAGCCCATGCCCTCATTTATTTTACTTTTAAAAACCAATAACCAATGAGCTTTGTATTTGCTCAGCCCAAAAGACCTCTGTCCTCCCCTTCTGCTAATCCAAGTCTCTGTTTTGCCCCATTAGATTATTCTTTAAAAAAAACAACAACAAAGCTCTGAAAATCAAGATGTTCATGTGCAATAAGATTTAACACTGGTAAATTTACGCATTTGTGTGACCGCTGCAGGCAGGATGGGGAACACTGCTTTTCTACGCGGGAGGAAACTTCCTTGTGCCCCTGGCTACTCAGCACCCCCCAGCTGCAGCCCCGGTCAGCCACAGATGTGCGTTCTGTCCCTGAAGCTTTGCCTTTTCCAGACTCTCGTGAGAGTGGAATCCTAGTATGTGTTTGAGGGCCCTCCTTGCTGCTGCGTGTAGACTTCCAGTCTCTCTGACTGCTGAGCAGTGTTCCAGAAAAAAACCCACTATCCATTCACCAGATGATGGGGTATTTGGATGGCCTCCAGTTTGGAGCTACACTGAATACAGCTACCACGAACATTCACACACACACGAACATATGTTTCGGTTTCTCTTGGGTAAATTCCTAGGCGTGGAATGTGGCTTGTTTGATAACTTTATAAGCATGGTTTATGAGTAAGTTGCTTTGTAAATATGATTTAGCTTTATGAGATACTTCCATAGACTTTTTTCCAAGTGGCTTTTCCACCAGCAACATTTGTACGTTCTGGTTCCTTGGCATCCTCACCGAAGCCTGGTGTTGGTGTCCTGGTCTAATCGCGGCCATCCATGGAGTGGACAGTGGTACTTCATTGTGGTGGTTCATTTCAAGGTGCATTTCTCTGTTGCCTAGTAATGTTGAGCATCTTTCCATGGGCTTGTCATTTAGACAATGTATCTCCTTATGTGAAGCATCTGTTCAGTATTTTACCCATTTTTATTAGTTTTCTTTTTTGCCTTCTTATTACTAAGTTGTAAGAGTTCTTTACATATTCTGGATGCAAACCCTTTCCAGATATGTGTTTTGGGAAAAAACTTTTCTCCCGGTTCCCCATGGGCTTATTCTTGGAAAGAGATACAGTTGGCGCTTGAACAATGCAAGAATTAGGGGCACCGACCCCCCCAATAGAAAACCTGTGTCTAACTTCTGATTGCCCCAAAGCTTAACCACTACTGTTGTCCCTCAGTATCCACAGGACGTTGGTTCTAGAACCTCCCACAGATACCTAAGTCCACGGATCTTAAGTTCCCTTTATAAAACTGCACAGATCAGAAACAGTACAGGTGTTTATTGAAGAAATCCAGCATCGGGGGACCCACACAGTTCAAACCCATGTTGCTCAGGGTCGACTGTGGTGTGGGGAGGGCCTGTGCCCCGGCTGCTTCCTCGCTGTCCCCCGCGGGCAAACCCCTCCCCCTCTGTGAGCCTCAGTTTCGTCATTGGTGAAACGGGAACAAACAACCCACTGCCTTCCCCACGGCATTGTCGGGGGCCCTGGGAAGAACTGTGACCGTGAAGGCATTTTGTAAACTCCTCAGGCCTGTAAACAGGTTAACAGTGTGGTCGAGTTGCTGTTCAGACCTGAGACCCTTCTGCGTCCCTGCCCTTGGGCTGCGCGTCATCTGGAAGGAGAGCCGTGCGGGGCGGGCGCTCTGCAGTCTCGAGGGACTGCCAAGGCGGGTGCAGGTGGCGGCCGCGAGGGGCAGCCCCCTGGGCCTCAGAGGCAGGCAAGGCTCACTCATTCAGCCAGTGTGTCCCAGGCGTCTCCTCCGTGCCAGGCCCTGCCCTCCGCACTAGGTGGGGGCAACCAAAGCAAGCATGGTGATCACGGGGCTGTGTGGGTCCTGGCCTGACAGAGGTAGCCCCGCTGCCCAGGGCCGCAGCAGGGGCCCTGAGCCCGTTTCAAAGGAGGGTCACCGAAAGGGTCATCCAGGCAGAACCAACAGCAGGTGCAGAGCCCTGTGGCCCCGCCCGGCACACGCCCTGTTGCATCCTGGTGCTTTTCAGAGAGCCCCGGTGTTCCCACAGGGACTCCCGTCTAGTGACGTGTTACTCTTTCCAGGATTACCCTGAGGTGGCTGCAGATGGAGTCGGGTGCCCCTTTTCAGGTGTTGGCTGCTCCTTCAAGGTAAGCATGTGGGTGTGAGAAGGGACATCTGTCCACGACAGCCCTAGGCCCTGGGTCTCCTTGCTTCAGCCCATCCGGGATTTTTCTACATTTCAAGGTTCTCCTCTGGATGACCCTTACACTGATGACCTTCTCAAGCAACAAATCTCACTAGTAAAGCGTTCCCGTTCAACTAAGGACAGTTGTTCTTAGGTCTTATCTCAGTTGTGGCCTCACTAAATTGGCCACCCCCCAGACCTCCCCCAGGCCTCTCTCCATGGTGCTGAATTGTCACTGCACTCAAAGACGGGGCAGAATTGTTGCTCCAGAGGCTGGAGTGCACACAGCTCGCTGTGGGCATGTGTGATGCCAGGGTCCTCTGCATCCCTCTCACTGCACACAAACCCACTTCCCCTTTGCTGGGCGAATGGATCGGACTTTCTCCGGGGAGCTTCTTTGTCTTCACTGATCAGCCCCACTCTCTTGGCAGGGGAGCGCAAAGTTCATGCAGGAGCATGAGGTCACCTCTCAGGCCACCCACCTAAACCTGCTGCTGGGGTTCATGAAACGGTGGAAGGCCCAGCTGGGCGCAAGCCTGGGGTCAGGGCCCATGGCCCTGGAGCAGAATCTGTCAGACCTGCAGCTACAGGCAGCCGCAGAGGCAGCTGGGGACCTGGAGGTGGACTGCTACCGGGCCCCCTGCCCTGAGAGCCAGGAGGAGCTGGGCCTGCAGCACTCCATGAAGGAGAAGGCCCTGGCCGACCTGGAGGGGAAGCTGCACGTGTTTGAGAACATCGTTGCCGTCCTCAACAAGGAGGTGGAGGCCTCCCACCTGGCCCTGGCTGCCTCCATCCACCAGAGCCAGCTGGACCGCGAGCACGTCCTGGCTTTGGAGCAGCGGGTGAGCATGGGGGTCAAGGTTGCCTTCAAGACTGACTCAGGGGGTCCCCTTCCCCTCTGCCCTGTCTTGTCTCCAGAGCAGTGTGTCAGCCTTTCTCCTAAGCTTTCTCCCTGCTCACAGCAGTCTCGCCCCCATCAAAAAGTATCTGTCCTGTGTCCCAAGACCTTCTAGGTGCTCGAATTTCTCCCGTGGTAGGACTCTCCCCTCTCAAGCTGCCCATTCCATTGCTGGACATTTTCCGCCACTAGAAAGTCCTTACACCAAACTGAAATCCGCCCTTCTGTGTCTTCCCTGCACTGTTCCTGGCCCCGCCCTGCAGGGCCCACAAAACAAACCTGCCTCCCAGGCCCTGTGGAAGCCCTTCAGAGATGAGCGGTCAGTGGTGATATCCTCCCTGAGTATTTCCTTCTTTAGGCGGAACGCCCCCAGGGTCTTCCCCCCTCATCACAGCACATCCTTGTGTGCCCTTTGCATTTGCTCTGGCTCAGGCCCTAGGACCCCACGTACAGCCCACCACCCGGAGTGGTGGTCCCAGAGCAACTCCAGATACTCCACTTCTCTGACAGTTCTTGGTTGAGTAGGACTGTCATCCCCTCCTTTGTTCCAGGGCTTATACTTTTCTTAACATAACCAGTCACCATGTTAACATTGCTTTTTTTCTTTTTCAGCAACACTAAATCACTGTCTCATGTTGACTTAGGCCTGGATTTTAATTTCAGCTCCACCATTAACTTGCTCTGTGGGTGTGAGCAAGTCACTTTCCCTCTCAGGACCTCAACTTTCTCATCAGTAAAATGAGGAATTCCATTTATTGCAGAACACTGACTTCCACTCCTGATTTCCCTATGTGAGCACATCCAAGAATAACTTTGTATTCTTTCAAGGGTCAATGGGGAAGTTTACCAGAAGAGCCAGGCCTTGGGTTTGAGTGACTGGGTACCACCTTTGCTTATGCAACCCTTGCCCCAGTTAGAAGGTGGGCTTCCCGGGAGCAGCGGCCATGTCTTCAGTTCATCAGCACTTTCCGCTCTACTCATACATGCCAGGCACTGTGCAAGGCAGGCACACAGAGAGGAAATGGGCATGGGCCCAGCCCTTGGCAGGGGAGACATCTGTCTGGTAGGAAAGGCAGAAGAAATAAACCTCATAAAACTGCTGTAAAGACTCTGTAAGAACTCTAAGAACATAGGTCAGAGAGAGAGAGAGACACCAGCTGAGCTAGGGCAGTGGCTGAACGCTTCCCGGAGGAAGGGCTGTGTGAGCCGGATTTTGGATGGGTGGGTAGGAGTCGGCCAGTGGATAAGGGAGGCAGTGGAATTCCGGGAAGGAGGTACAGCACGTGCAAAGGCAGGTGCACGTACCTGAGGGAGACATGGTCGGGAAGGCATATTTTTGGCAGGTCTGTCTCCATACTGAGCCATCCCCAAGCCAGGCCTGGTGTCCCTGGCTGAATGGGCTTCTCCACAGGTGATGGAGTTGCAGCAGACGCTGGCCCAGAAAGACCAGGCACTGGACAAGCTGGAGCAGAGCCTGCGGCTCATGGAGGAGGCCTCCTTTGACGGCACCTTCCTATGGAAGATCACCAACGTCACCAGGCGGTGCCATGAGTCGGCCTGTGGCAGGACCGTCAGCCTCTTCTCCCCAGGTAACATGTCCCCCAGGCACAGAAACCCCCCCAGGCACAGGGACCCACAGCATGGGGAGCAGCCAGCTCTGTGACTCCATGCTGCGTCCAGTCAGACCAGTGTCCCTTCAGGCCACCTACCATGCTGGGACCCAGAGGAGGGAGGTGCCTAGCTCGGCCACAGGGAACATGGGCTCTTTGAACTGCCGTACCTTCCACCTCCCCAAGTGTCAGTCACATTCTAGAGATAGGAATAAAATTGTCATCGGCGTGGTGTGGAGGTCGGATGTGAAAGGCAGTGTGCCGAGAACCAAAGTCTGTGCAAATGCAGGGTGCAGGGGATGGTTCTCAAAGGCGAGTACCGTGGGACCCCTCCCCTCAGAGAGCCAACGGGCTGAGCTAAGACAAGCGGAAACGAAGTGTACGATTGTGGGTGGCGCATTAGGAAGCATTGTGTAAATCAGGGCAGTTCTTACTCATTCTTGGGCCCCAGGGCCTGGCACAATGTCTTGCATAAAGTAATTACTCAGTAGATGTTTCCCTTAATGAACTGATTTATGTTTATAAAACAAAGCACATATTTGTGTATAAAATGCTCCCACCTCTGAGCTCTTCTCTCTCCTTGTTCATGCGTGTCTAAGTCAACACACGTGAAATCAAGGAAGATTTCTGCAGGTGATGATGTGAACCACCTCTCTCTCACCTTTGCGCCAGCTTCACACCTTTCCTGTCTGTCTGCTCCTCTGATTCGCCCTAAACTGATGGAACTGGATGAAGAGAGGCATCGGGGTCTGTTCCAGACCCCAGAGCGGGGCTGGGCCCCAAGCCAGGCTTCTTTCCTCAGGAGCAGGGGCAGCCCCCTTCATGGGGTGACCTCACCTCCAACACGCAGGCGTTTCCTCCTCTATTCTTTCCAAAGAAGGACAAAGCAAGCAGTGTTTCTGGCTTCCTGTTCTGCCCAAACGTAAGGAGCAGGATGAATCAGACTGTCCATCTGTCCTTCCTCCACCCCTTCCTGCCTGCCCCCCACACCCTCCCCCGATCACCCCCTCCCAGAGGGGCCCTTGTGGCCACAGCCACCGGCACCCACATGGCTTAGCCCTTCCAGCTGCCGAGGGGCAGAGCCCACTGGCCCCTGTGCTTTGTCACCAAGGGGTGAACCATCCCTCAAGGGCCTTTGCCAAGGGTGCCTGGCAGAACCGTGAGCCGCTCCACTCTTCCCCAGCCTCTAGGTCTAGGGCAGCAGAAAGAAGTCAGTGTCGAGATAGAGGAGGCCTGGCTCCTAATCCTGGCTCTGCCCCCAGCACATTATGGGGCCAGGCACTTCTCCCTGCTGGGCTCAGTTTCCTGACTGCAGAGTACAGGGTGGTTAAATCAAAAGTGTGGTCCCTGGGCCAATAGCATCGCTGTCTTCTGTGGGACATGCAGAGCCCCAGTCCTCCCCCAGCACTGTGGAGTCCGAAACTCCGGGAGTGGTGCCTGGCAATCTGTGATTCTGATGGCCATTGACAGCCAGTAGTCTAGAAGAGCTCCAGGATGTGGGTCCCCCGGACCATACATGATCGAGAAGAACGCTGGGCTCCAGCCCCAGTGTCTTAGTTCTGAGCCACTGATCCTGGGCGTGCCTAACCTCTCGTCCCGTTTTCTCATCTGCAAAGCCAGCACTCTCCAGCTGCCTCTGGGCTGACTCTGCTTCCACATTTCAGCTTTCTATACTGCCAAGTATGGCTACAAGTTGTGCCTGAGACTCTACTTGAATGGTGATGGGACAGGAAAGAGGACTCACCTGTCGCTCTTCATCGTGATCATGAAAGGGGAGTACGATGCTCTGCTGCCGTGGCCTTTCCGGAACAAGGTACAGGCCACGGGGAAGGGCGGGTGGGGTGGGGCAAGTCTGGGTCCTGGTCCTGGTTCAGCCATGAACTGGTGGGGTGATCTGGGCAAGTCCCTCTCTGTGTTATTAGCTTTTCCTTTTATAAAACAAGAGCCTGAGTTCACATCTAATAACATCTAATGGCCAAGGCTCCCTCCAGCATCATGAGTCCAGGGGCAAAAGTGCCCAGACAGTATCCCTGGGTGGTGTGTAGAAATGAAATTCCCTCGGTGGACTGAACAAGGAGAACTTCCTGGAGGAGGCGCTGTGGGGCCAGCTTGAACTAGAAGCATTTTCAGAAAAAGGGAAGGAGGCAGATGCTACTACACACCTAGTAGAAGGGCCAAAATCCAGAACATGACAACACCAAGTGCTGGTGAGGATGTGGAGTGACAGGAACTCTCATTCATTGCCAGCGGGAGTGCAAAATGCTGCGGACACTCTGGAAGACAGATGGACAGTTTCTTATAAAACTAAACATACTCCTATCATATGATCCAGCAATCACACTCCTTGGTGTTTACCAAATGAGCCAAAAACTTAGGTCCACACAGAAACCTACACGTGGATATCTATAGCAGCTTTATCCGTAATTACCAAACTTGGAAGTTGCTAAGATGTCCTTCAGGAGGTGAGTGGATAAACAAACCACGGTGCATTCAGATAACTGACACTACTCAGCACCGAAGAGAAATGAGATGGAAGAGCCTGAATGCACATTGCTGAGTGACAGAAGCCAATCGGAAAAGGCCTCACGCTGTAAGACTCCAGCTCTGTGGCAGTCTGGAAAAGGCACAACTATGGAGACAGTGAGACGATCCGCGGGTGCCAGGGGCTGAGGGCTGGGAGGGATGAACAGGCAGAGCACAGAGGGCTTCGGGGGCAGTGGAACTGTGTTGTGTGGTATTGTGCCGATGAATACATGTTACTACACATTTGTCCAAACCCAAGAGTGAACCCCGCAGTAACTGTGGACTTTGGTGATAATAATGTGCCCGTATAGGTTAATCGAGTATAAAGCACGTCCCACTGGTGTGCAGGGCGTGGATGGTGTGGTAGATTGTGCGGAGGCAGGAGGTGTAGGGAACATCTCTGTATTTTCCATTCAGTTTTGCTGCCCACTTAAAACTGCTCTAAAAATAAAGCCTATTAAAAATAAACGTTTAAGAGGGCGGGAGTGCCGCAGAGGTCTGGGTATGAGTCAGTGGGTCAGAGGTCCCCACACCTGCTGGGGAGATTTTACACATACCAGCCACTGGGTCTCTCACCGCAGTAAAAGGTCAGGCCTGAGCATCAGGTTGTTGAAACCTTCCCAGGGGTTCTAAGCGCAGCCAAGTTTGAGGACCGCTGCGGTGGGCAATGAGGAAACGTTTCATGTCCTGATGGGCATTCCAGTGACGTGTACCAGGGCAGAGGATTGTGTCACTGAGGTCATCGGCTTCTTGGGGGCACGCAGATCTGCTCTGTGCACACAGCGGTTCCGCTCATGGTTCCGGGCCTTGGTGGGCAGCTCCTCAGCAGAAGGCCTGTCTGCTCTTGCCCCCCCACCTCACCCAGGAGGTCTAGTTCACTGCCCAATGTCTCTGAGCAGAAAGGGGCATCGCCAGTTATGACTCCAGCCTCCTTGTCAGAGCTCAGTCCCACCTGTAGCCCCCAACAGCCAACCAAAATCGATGGTGACATCCAAATTCCCCTTCCCCATTGGATAGACCATCAGAGCCCTAATTATAGGACAACCCCCGAGCCCTCTCAGGATACCAGGCACCCCCACCCCTGGGGCTCACTCTGCTCTAGGTGTGGTCCTTATGTTGTTTCTTTGGCTCCTAACCCACCTGAGCTCAGAGTCAGAGGGGCTGCACAGGTGGCAGACGCAGACCAGCTCTGAGCCCCCGGGTGCGCTGCCCAAAGCCTGACCACCCCCTGCCCTGGCCCGCAGGTCACCTTCATGCTCCTGGACCAGAACAACCGTGAGCACGCCATTGATGCCTTCCGGCCCGACCTGACCTCCGTGTCCTTCCAGCGGCCCCAGAGTGAAACCAACGTGGCCAGCGGCTGCCCGCTCTTCTTCCCTCTCAGCAGGCTACAGTCACCCAAGCACGCCTATGTGAAGGACGACACCATGTTCCTCAAGTGCATTGTGGAGACGAGTGCTTAGGGCGGACGGCGAAGAGCAGCCGTGCCTGCGTCCTGAGGGAGCGCCAGCCCAGACTGGAGGAGGTCCTGCCCCGGTGCCCCAGGTCCTGAGGCACCGTGATAGTCTTAGGGTGGCAGGACCTGGAGCTGGGCCCACAGAGGCAGAGGGTCCAGAAAGAGGTGGTAGCAGAATTGTCCCTTCTGCACTGGCCATGCAACGCTGGAAGACTGGCAGCCATTCCAGCCTGAATGTTAAGGAAGACTCCGGCCAAGATGGGGAGGGAACGGCGATCAGGCCTGGGGCGTGGATGGTGATCTGGAGGTAAAGGGTCTGCATGTGAGACAGCCTCTGTAGGGCCACCATGGAGACCTGGAAGCGTTCTTGCCATCTTCCTGCCCAGGGTCAGAACCAAGGGGTGGAAGGGACAGAATTCAGTCTGTCCAGGCATGTACTGAGTTCCCCATCACTGGAGGTGAGCAAGCAAAGCCAGAGGGCTACACCGGAATGGGGGAAGGCACGAAGTTGGGGGCTGGATCTGAAGACCTTCAAGATTCCTTCCAGCCCAGAAAGTGTCTGATTCTAGGCCTCCTGGCCCAGGTGAGGCCTACAGCTGCTGGGGTTCTGGAAACATTCAGGTGCCTCCTGTCCTCCAGGTTCCTCACTCACCTTCAGTGCCACCAGTTGAGCTGGGCCGGCCTGCACAACACCTGCCACGTAGGCCCCGTGTCCTTCGCCGGCCCCCGCGGAACTCCCCTTCACCTCCTCTGGGTGAAACAGGGTCATGAACTTCCAGGAGCCTCCAGAAGGAGTGGGAAGAAGGAGAGAGGCATAAACTCTCCACTCCCTGCCTGGGGGGCCACCTTCCACGCTCTCCTGAATCCCGTGACCTGACGAACCATGGCATTCACTTTTCTCGTTGACTGATCAGGGTCTCTGAGCCACTAGCAGAGGTTGTCCTTTTCAATATGTATAAAACCAAGAGAGAATTTAAAAAAAAAAACTCTTCTGAAGTTTTCATGATGGGCGTGGTCATGGAAGGTGTCCATGACTGAGCCACGATTGCAGAGGCCATTGCTGCGTCTCGCTCACGCTGCCGGTTTTGCAGGCAACTTCCAAGGTTGGCGTGCTAGAAGGACAGCCCGTGTGCCCCCCTCTTTCCCTCTCCATAACGGGGAGAGCCATGCGGCCTGCCTCCCTGGCTGGGTTCTGTGGGCCTCACAGGAGATGCCAACAGGAGGGAGAAAGGCCAGGACACCACTGCCTGCCTGGCCCAGCCTCGCTGTGGTCCACGCTGGTCTTCTCCCCTTGGAGGCCTCGCACAACCAAGTCCTACAGAGACCCTCGCCAGGCTTTCCAGACCCCGGGGGCTCATTCTGCCCCTCAGAGCTCTGGGGCAGGCTCTCCACCCCACCCCCAGCCTTCGCTGCAGCTTCCTCTTTACTTGCAAGGCTGCTATAGTCACTCCTCACGCCCTCAGGGTTGGCTCTGTGAAACGGGTCAGCCGCTGGCCACACAGCTCAGCGGCTCCTAGATCCAGCCCTCATCCCAACCTGGTCTCCTGTCCTGCCTCAGCCTCCTCCTTTGGTGACGGGACACATGGAGCCTGGCCCTGCCCAGCCCTCGAGGTTTCCTCAAGGCCCAAACCTGACAATGGAGCTGCAGGTCTTAGTGGGCGACACTTTGCCACACGTGAAGGGCTGCAAACACGTCAGGGATGCTTTCTCCTGTCCCCACCGCTGACAGCCCGTTAGTGAGGGGGACCAACTTGCTTCCTTGGTGGGTGTCAATAACAAGGGAAGGGCTAGTCTCTCAAGTGATGGGGACTTCTGCCTTCAGTCTGGTGTTCTGGAAATAACACCTTCGTCCCTGCTCACTGAGCACCGAGCTGCCGAGGGCTTGTAGGGCAGGCTGCTTCCAGGGACGGCTCTGACTCGACACCTTTAACGGCTTAGCCCTGATGGCATGAGGCCCAGGCTGTCTTCAGGGAGGGAGGCAGCCATTCTTTCAGTGAAGCTTTATTGAGACCTCCTGTGCCAGACCCCAGGGAGGGGAAGGTAAGGTGGGTACTCTACCCTTAAGAGACTCTTAGTTCATAGCAGGAAACCAGTGCAGAAGATGATCATTGAAACTAGCACATAAGAGAAGCTCAGAGAAAGCTCAGGGTTCCAGATCTTTTGAGTGAAGCAGGGAGGGCTTCCTAGAAGAGGTGTTACTTAAACTCAGCCTTAAAATATTTTGAGATGCAGAAGACAGTGGTGGGGGGAGAGTGAAGACTCAGGTGCAGAGCAGCCTTGGCTGCAGGTAGGGTCCGTGAGGTGGGACCTGCGTGTGCCCCTTCGGGCTGTGAACAGCAGGGAGAGAGTGATTTAAAATTTAAATGTTCACTAATTTATCTTCCAGCAAAGTCTTATGTTAAATGCACAAACACCTCACAGCTCACCTCTTTAGGAGTAAAAAATGGAAACAATGCTGACATAAAATATATTTCTAATACACATATTATCTACCTTGTTGAGTTGCTGTAAGTACTAAATAAGATGTGTAATACAAATTCCAACTTCGCAGTCCTTAAGAAGTAGTAGAGTTTCTCCCACCACCTGAGTGAGGCTTCACGTCTTACTGCATTGCCCACTTTCAGGTCAGTGTTCAGAGTCACCGTAACAGACACCCTTGCCGGCTTCCTGGTTTTCACTGGCGGGCTCCCAGGGTTTTACCCCAAGAGCCTGTGGACCAAGCAGCCATGCCATTATAGCTGTTTCATAAACACGACCTTGAAATCACAGACTCCTCTTTAAGCCAATCATTCTCCCTTAAATTTGAAAGCTCAAAAACCTCTAGCAATTTTATTGGTTAATTATACATCCAAGAAGCTGGGAAAAAAAGCTTGCTGGGAATTCCTATGCTTTGTTTTCTTAAGAGGCAGTTCCTTCCTTTATGAATCTCAGGAACCCTGGGGTCCCCGTGAGAAAATGAGGAAACCCAGGGGTGCCAGGCCGGAGTAAAGCTTCTGCAGGGCTCCCCTCCCTCTGCAGCTTGGATGGAAAGGCCGCCGGAGCCGGGGTCCTTTCGCCTGGTCTCAGAACCCGACCCACTCTTTCCTGGCTGTGTGACCTTGAACAAGTCCCATTACCAGCTCTGAGCGCAACTGCCCCCACAGGCCAAGCAGACTCACCAGGTCCCTGACCAGTCGGGTGCTGATGACTGGCCATCATTACAGTGTAAGGTCCTGACACAGAGAAGGTTCCCAGGAATGTTACCTTAAGCTGATGCCCTGGTGGGCTTCGTGCTGGGTTCCCGGAAGGGGAAGAATCCCTAAAGCCTTCTATAAATAAGTCACGTGTTAGGTGTTCACTCAGCAGATCCTCCCAGTACCGCTGTGCTAGTCTCGCCAATTGGGTCAGCATCGGTGCACGCAGGGCAGTGGGGGACAGGCAATAAGTGAACACGTGTAAAGGTGGCCAAGGGCCTAAAAGGGGAGCAGCTGGTTGCCGGGGTGGCCCCCTGGGGTTGGGCCCAGGCTGCCCAGCACCCCGAAGCCGGTGGAATGCAGTGTCTGGCGCTTGCGTGCCCAGCCCCATGTCCACTCTCCGGGGCGCCTTTTCTTGGACTGCACCAGCCGTCCCCAGGCAGCTGGACCTCCAAGTCCTAAGAGGGCCTTCCCCCTGCTGCCTTCCCATCAGAGCAAGGCCAAGGCCAGGGAGGGGAGGAGCATCATCAGAGAAGGCACCCACCCTGCCTTGGGGGGAGGGCGGGGAGCATGGGAAGGGGGAAGCTGACCTTCAGCAGCTTGTCCAATACCCCCAGGGACTGGGAGGTGGCTTGAGGGGTGGGGGCCAGGTGGCCCCCGGGGCACTGGAATCACAAGGATCCTGTTGTTTTGTGCTAGAAAAGTAGTAGAAACATTTAAGATAAAAATTCTACACTTAGCATTCTGGGTCCCAACCATCCTTTCTAATCAAATTTCCCTTAACTTTGTCTGTCTTTTCACCCTTGTCTTGGGGTCCACAACAGATTCCCTGGGGAACCACAGAACAGTATCAGCTCATAGCTGACGAGCACAAATTGGTTTGATGACAGGGTGAGAGGATTACTGAGCACCAACCGTGTATGAGGTTGTCCCTACAGAAGCCACGGCCTTGTCCCTGTTTCCAAAAGAGGTGGCAGAGGCCCAGAACTACCCCAGCAGTCTGCAGGCTGGCCATGGCCACATGTGTCTGCGTGTCCCCGAGGGCTTGCTAAAACGGAGAGGGCCACCTCCACCGCACCCCGAATGTTTTGACTCAGTAGTTCTGGGGTGGGGCCCGGAATCTGCACCCATCACACACCCCCAGCTGATGCGGATGGTCTTGGTCAGGGACCACACTTTGGGAACCTCTGCCCTCCACCATGTGCCCCTCTGAATAAACTGGCTGCCCTTTGGCAGACGAGAAGTTCAGCATGCTCAACTTTCCACAGCAAGGGTCTATGAAGACCCGCCATCCCGGTACAGGTACTGGAGGGTTCTGTTCCTGGCTGTCACGCTGGTGTCCCACCCTCAGGGGACTGCCCCCGGACACTCCATTCAGGCCTCTGCGAGTGCTCCTCCTGACCACACAGGACACAAACTTCTGGAGTGAGGGTGCGTCCATCAGCAAGGACAAGGGGAACTGTTCGGGATGATTTGCTTCCTTAGCTGGTCCCCAGGAGAGGGACCAGGCCAGGCTGGGCAGCGGGGGGGGGGGGGGCGCACGGGAAGGCTCGGAGGAGACTAGCAGAGGCTTTCAAACAGGGGTGGACAGGGTTGGGGCTGGAGAGCTCAGTGACAGGGGAAGCGGGACGGGGCCTGCAGCACCTGCGGATGCTGCAGCTGTGGACTCGGACCGGAGCTCCCCGCAGTCAGCACTGCAGCCCGGGGTGGCCCGAGTGTGGGCAGCAGACTGGGACTGAGAGCTGAGGAACCTGTTTGCTTCATCCACCCAGCGGGCACACGTGGCTTCTTTGTCAGACTCGAGCCGGTTCGAGCAGAGCAAGAGTGTCCTCGTTCACGCTGCATACTTTACTGATGATTAGGCTGTTAAATAATGACCTATATGAGGGTGTTTTATTAACAACGACAGCCATCATTTATGAGCACCTATTATGTACCAGGCACTTGACATCCACAATCTCGTTCAGTCCTCCCAAAACTCCGACAAGGTGGCTGCTGAGATGATCCCCATTTTACGGATGAGAACACTGAGGCTAAGAGAGCTTAACTTGCCTAGAGTCCTAGGGAACGACAGGGCTACTGTCTCCCCATCTCTAAACTGTCACTTTCCGCTACATCCTCCTGCCCCTCATTTCCTGAACACCTGTGCTGCGGAAGGCCCTGGGGGACCGCAAGATGAATCATTCAGGTAGTCACTCACTCACTCAACAAACTTGGCGAGCACTTGCTGTTTTGTATGGGCCTATTTATTTATAGCTGCCTTATTTCAGAAAGCACTTTACATGCTGCTTTACGTGGTATACAGGAGGATGTAAATGGGAAAGCTCGGTCTGTGAGGGGGACACATGGAAAACAGAAACTGGAAAGGTCCGAAGAAACCGGGAGCGAGCCAGGTATGGGAAGAACAGGCCTCGAGGTCCTATGTGCCGCGCAGACAGGCCACAGATTGTCTTCTGAGCCTTCTAGCAGGCAAAGCCCAATCCCTACTGTGCAGAGGCCAAAAGACACGAACCAACCAGTTGCCGAGGGGAAACATGACTCTCCCAGGCTCTGAGACCAGAGAGGCCTCTTCCCCGGGGAGCTGGCACGAAGAGCTGGCACTGTGCACCGTACGGAGCAGTGTCCCCAGACAGCGTACGGACGGGCCGAACAGCGCCAGTCTCGGGCTGCTTCCTGCACTCCCGGGCATGCAGCCCGAGCCCCAAAGCTGGGGGGCGAGCCTGCTGCTCTCCAGCTCACTCCGCGTCTGTTTGGCCTGAAAAGTGTACTTAAGTTGTTTGAATTTGTTGTCCACCTTAAACAGATTTCACATAAAAATCTAGATTTTGGTGGGTATTTTTTAAAAAATGGATCGGACAACATGAGGCCCCAAGAACAAAGACTGGCCATCGCTGAGTAGTTTTCCAGCCCTTCCATGGTTCCCCAAAGGCCCTGGTTGTCTTTCAGGTCCCTCCCTGGCTTTGCCAGTCACCGGGAGCTTGCAGCCCCGGTTTAGGAGGTTTTGAGGTGTGGCATGACTGTGCACCAGAGGCACCCAGTAACTTGTGTATAGTGTGGAGTCCCAGGCCCTGCTCCTGGATTTGGGGTCGGGCTCAGACGGGCACCCCTGTAACAGGTGATGTCACCCAGGTGGTCTCTCCTAACAGGGTGGGCTGTGGTGACTATAGCTACTCAGCCCTGCCGCTCCAGATACATGGGTGAACAGTGTTTCTTTCAAAACAATTTTTTGGCAAGAACAGTGAGGTTGTGAGTTCAAGGCCACCCGCCCCAGCAGGGGCCGGGCAGGGGGGCGCAGTCCCTCGGACTTGCAGGGGAAGTCCTGAGTCACATGCCGTAATTACAGACCCACCTGGGGAACTCTTGAACCAGTGCTCCCCCACCCCACGCCAGACCAATCAAATCAAAATCCCTGAGGATGAAAACACACGCATCAGCATTTTAACTCTCCTCAGATGACCCAAGGATGCTGCTGCCAGGTGTGAGGACAGGGCTGAAAAAGGAGCAAGCCCCTGCAGCTATGCAGATGAGCACAGCTACCCCGAGAGGAGGGGCTGGTGGCAGTGAGGAAGTGGATTGTCAGAATGCCACAAGTACTCCGGGGACCCAAGCAGGGGCATCTCACCCAACCTGGGGACTCTAACTCTCCACCCCACTATCCTCAGGAAGAGAGGCCTGGGCTGAGTTTAGCGAATAAATACCATGTAGCCACATAAAGAAGGAAAGCCAGCCAAGGCAAGGGTACAGTCCAAAGCTCTGAGGCCCCCACGGAGGGGGAGGAGGTAGACAGAAGGTTCTGGCACAGTTGGCTCAAAGGTGGAAGTGGGGAGCATGAGAAGAGGCCACAGAGGAGGGAAGTGGCCAAATCACAAAAGGCCTTGCATGCCAAGCTAACCCTGAACTTGACCCCAAAGCTAGAAGAAACATCTAAAGGTTTTTAAGTCATGAAAGAACAAACCCCTAGTGGCCTGGGCTTATCAAGGAGGGCTTCCTGGAGGAGGACAGACTTGAGCCAAGGGAGGAGTAGGATTTGGAAAGCTGGCAGGGAGGGAGAGGTGTGGGTATTCTAATTAGCTGCTGCAATTAAAACTCTTGAAAACCCTTCCCTCCCCTGTACCTTTTGAAACCGTTTGAATCACAGACTGACTGTGTTAAAGATACGTTTGTCTGTTATTTGAAAGCTGTGGTTTCTCTTTAACAGACTCTGGGCCCCGTCCTTTGACTAGGAACCAGGAAGGAATGAAGAACACATCCTCTTGCCCGGAGGGCTAATTATTGAAATACCGTCTGCCTCACCAGGGCATATGGCGTCACCGCCTCTGCCCTCCAAGAACTCGGAACTTCTCACTGGTCAGGGTTTTCAGTACAGTTTTATGGGCTGCCCCAAAGCCAAATGGGAGCTTTTTTTCCATAAATTCTCCCTGAGACAAGTAGCTAGGTTTCACATATTAAAGTGAAAACGTCAAAAGGGTTGTTAAAAAGGGGGGGGAGGTACAGGCTCATGTGTGAGGCCTTGTTTCAGGAAACTCACATTAGAGTTCAACAATATTTGCCTGGTGGTGTTTTTCCCCCTGCAAAGCTGACAGTCAGGTTTT